ACATCCTGTGGTCAAAGACATAAGCAGATTAAGAAACGGAATAAAGGGTGTGGTGACCTCAAGCAAGATATCATCCAGCTATGTTTCCAACTAAAACAATTAAAGAAGCTTAGAGACTGGTTTGGTGGTACATGCCTTTATTCCCAATACTCAGAACACAGAAGCTTGTGGATCTCTAAATTTGAGGACATCCTAATTTACATAGCAAATTCCAGAATATCCCTGCTTAGGCAGTGAAGGAAACCATGGAAAACAAAAAAGTTGGGGAAGAGACAATTCAATGATCTCTGAATTCAAGGTCAGCCTGATCTATTAAAGCAAGTTCCAGAACAGCCGAGCTCGGTAGTGAAGAAAATCACACATAAGAGAAAGTTGGTGAAGATGAAAGCAAATGAGGGTACATATTCCAGTCCTAGTAAACAGTAGCTTTGGCCACGTGGCTCTCGTATTAAAATAGAAAAAAAAAGGTTATGAAATTTGCCTCAGTAATTAAGTAAAGCTGCTGAGGCCAGGCATGTGTCAGGGGTATCCCTGAATGGAGACCTAAAGAGGCCATTCCGTGAAATTGTTAAGTTGAAGCCTGGGTGACCTTGAAGACCCCAAGATGATGGAGAAGCCAGAGCTATGGGACACCTGTCAAAGAAACCTGCTAGGAGAAAGTGGAACCAGCCCACAAAAAGAAGTATGCTGTAGTGAAAAAAGATGAAAAAAGTTAGAGTTCTAAAAGTGCTTTGATATCAGATATGGAGAGGCAATATTTGGACTTTGCTCAGCTGGTTTTCAGTCTTGCTCGAATCTACCGCTTCCTCAGTATGCTCCCTTGCCTTTGTTTCGCAACAGTAATGTATTTCCTGTGTTATTGTGTGTTGGAAGTATGTGACCTGAGTTTTTGATTTTGATTTTATAGGGGACTAGAGTGAAGAGATTGCATGAATCTCAGGACTGACTTTGAACTTTGGATTTTTAAACATTATTAAGACTGTGATAAACTATAGGGACTTTGGAAGTTGAACTGCATGTATTTTGAATTATGGCATTTTCACAGGCTTATGGGGACCAGGGAGTCAAATGTCGCAATTTGAATGTAATTGACCCCCCTTCACTACATAGGGAGTGGCATTAATGCTTGGAGGTGTGGCTTTGTTGGAGTAGCTGTGGCCTTACTGGAGGAAGTGTGTCACAGTGTGGATGGGTTTTAACGTCTCCTATGTTCAACCTTAACTCAGTGTGATACTCAATTCATTTCCTGTTGCCTTTGTATCAAGATGTAGCCATCACCGTGTCTGCCTGCATGCCACCATGTTGTACCATGATGATAATGGACTAAACCTCTGAAAATGTAAGCCAACCCAATTAAATGTTTTTTCTTTTTAAGAGTTACTGTGTTCACGGTGTCTCTTCATAGCGATAGAAACCCTAGCTAATATAGAACCCATCCCGGGGAAGACAAACTCTCCCTCTCTTAAAAGGATTAAATGACCAAAAATGCTGGAGGAATTATCATATCAGATTTCAAAACCCATTATTCTTTTCCTATATCTTGATGAATTTACAAATGAAAGTATCAGATTCTCCTGTTACAATATGTCAGTAACTTTGCTCAATTGGTGTTAATTGTTTAGAAAGCTGCTGGAAGCTGCTAATGCCACACTGCATTTTACAGAGTCAACATTGTGTTTGGAGATTCATGACATATAGTTCATATCGTCACATTTATGACATCATGACTGGTCTGAGAAAATAAAGGAAGGAGGTATAATTTGGATTTTGGCTCAGTGGTTTAAAGGTTTTGGTCCGTGATTATTTGGATCTCCTGGTTTGGGACCTGTAGTATAGCAGAACAACATGGTAGGAAGAATATGTCAGAACCGAGCTTTCGGTCTCATGACAGCCAAGAAGAAAGAGAAGAGAAGAGAAGAGAAGAGAAGAGAAGAGAAGAGAAGGAAGATCTTTTAATTGCATGCTATGCCTCTGGTGAGCTGTATCCTCCTGTGAGATGCTGCTTTCAGAAGTTGTCTCCATCACTCAATGTCTTCTAATATAAACCACAATTAACCATTCGTGAGTTCAAAATGTTCATGAGCTAATATTTCTCAAAGTTCTTTCTCTATCCACAGTGTAGACAACTAAGTCTTTAGTACGTCAATCTTTGGAGAAATACTTCTCATCTAAACCAAATAAGCCCTATTTTGCATTGCAATAGAGCCAACCTTGCCTAATATAATTGCTATCCAAAATAAAAAATAGAATATTTTTTAATAAAGAAGATAACCTCATAAATAAATACTCCATCTAAATTTTCAAATCACAGAAGACTAAATAGTAATTACCACATTAACACTTTTTCACTTTTATTCAGAAATAAATACTCAGCACATGAAGTGATGAGACTTGAATTCAAACTTACTGGATAGGAATATTTCATAAAGAATTACAAAACAGAGCTGTGGACTACTAGGAGCTGTGTTACAGTACAGAAGAAAATTACAGCCACACCAGAAAACACTCTATGGGATGCTTTCTAACAAATCTAATTTATGTTAGTTACTAATATTTCTGAATTACTTGGATTCTTTCACTTTGAGCACCTCCATGGAGGACTGAGCTGTTAATATGAACTTTAATTCAGTGTTGTCATTTTGTGTATGTTCTCTGATTTTTACTTCTTAAGGATAAAATACTTGGCAACATAAAATTACATGTAGACAGCTGTACAAAAAGTTTATTTCCCTACTCTCTGCATTGTGTCTGTGAAACAAATTAAAAATGAGCACGTGAAAAACTACACAAGCTCACTGCATTCCTAGGGACTCACGAGGAAAAGGAAACCAATATCTAGTCACCTACTGGTCTAGAAACTTCTATTCCCTCTTCCCAGGGTGAGGAAGGAAAGTTGGGAAAGAACAGACTCTTTGGGAGATGATAAAAATGTCATTACGGGAAGACGTTAGACCTGAGAAGTCTGTCTGGCCATGGTATGGGCCTCTAGTGTCTCCTCCTGTGATAACTTAATTTTTCCTGGTTGGCTGAACTCCCAGGGAGAGGCTTTTGGAATATGTGTTTTGTCTAGCAGGGGAAGCTGGGAGAAAAAAAAATTTCCATACTTGTTTTTGACTCAAGCACCTACAGATCAGAAGGAGAAGAAACCAAAGTAGCATAATGGATAGTTATTTTTTGAACTCTGCCACTGTTTTTATATCTGTAACTGTCTTAGCATTTATATTGCTGTGAAGAGACACCATGACCATAGCAAGACTTATCAAGCTTAATTGGGGTAGCTTATATTTTAAGAGATTTAATCCATTATTGTCATAGTACTGACTACATAGTGAGACGCAGTCAGACATGGTGCTTGCTACACCTTGATCCCACGGTAATAGGAAGTGAACTGAGTCTACAACTGGGCAAAGTAGACCTCAATACACACTCCCACAGTGTCGCACTTCCTCTAACAAGGGCGTACTTACTCCAATAAAAGCTACACTGCTTAATAGAGCCTTCCTATGAGCCTATATGGCAGGGAGCAATAACATTCAAACCACCACAATCACCCCCTGGTATTTTATACATAGTCACTGTGTTGTAGAGACATCATCACTGCGAATGTCCCAATGCATTCTCCTATATTAACCCTTTAAGGAGTGACTAGTCTTCCCTTTCTACTTTCAGAAGTCAAAATTTCGCGTTGTAATTTTTTTCTGTTTGTGTATCATTTCTTTTACTTCACATAATATTTGATACCTTTTCAATGTGTATATGAACTTGACTTATTTCAATACTTCATTGCATTAAAATAGTACTTTTTTTTACATAGCCATCACTTTATGGATTTTTAAGTTGTGTCTGTCTCTATGTTTTATAGATCACCTTTGCCAAAGCTTACAAAGACCAAAGGTGATGTGATAGGAGTTTCCCTGATTCCTCTTTCTCAGTGACTTAAGCACATTGCAAAATAATGCTTTGTGTGTACTTATCACTAAACCACAGCATCTACCACTGTCAAACATAAAATATACAGTTTGGCACCTAATAAAAGATTACAGCTTTGCAAGGAGGGAAGAAAATAGGATCATCACTAGGGGGAAAAAATCAACCACTAGAAAACAACTTATTTCTGAAAAAATGGCTGACAATGACATTAAACAGTGTAGCTGCAGGATATGCCTTAACAGGTTCATAGAAATGAGGGAGACGTGCAAAGTTTCAAATCAAGATTCTAGATCAAGATTAAGATTGAAATAAAATAAGATTAAAATTGAAAGAAAAATTGTAATATCTGTAATAAGAAATACCTGGCTGTTAGTAGCAGGAGATTGGATACTCCAGAAGAAAGGATTAATGAATTTGAAGAGGGTAATCATCAGGAAACACAGAGAAAATGGGAACAAGGTATAAGCAAGCAGATGATACTCAAATGGTCAAATAGCAAACAGGGATTATAATGCAAAATTTTAATATTTAAATTTCTTCAAAGGTAAATTAGCTGTCTACAACAGTAGTTTAAAAATCTACTCTTCTCAGCTTTCTCTTCCTTAGATTGCTTTGTTTCCCAACTGCTCAGAGGTTTTTCCACTCTCAGCATCTGCAATCCTGCCTTGTAGGTATTCCTGATGACCAAAGCCAGTTTTCCTCACATTTAGCCCCTAGCTAATATCACATTAGCTGATATCTAATGACTAGTCTGAAAATATTTAGAGTTTAGTCCTTTGTGGTTTTGTTGGGGGGGGGGGTGTTGTTTGTTTGTTTTTTAAAAAAGAAATTCCCTTCATTCTTCTCTTGCTATCACAGGCAATATTTATTCAGCATAACCATCTTCCTTTTCAATAAGCAGACTGAGCCTAAAGGGGGAGGGCTGAGCTGGCAGAGTATGCCCAAGGGTACAGAGAGCCTGTGGGAGCCAACAAGATCACTGACCTCAGAACCTGACATCACAGGCAATGAGCTGAAAGGAGGAGCTGACTCCTGCTCTCACCAGGGAGAGCAGCATGCTGAGGAGAAGGATGTGGGGCACTGCCCTCCCTGGCTCTGCCTGGGGCCCCAGCCTGCTCTGCTGTGTCACTGTCTTTCTCCTGGGAACAAGTGAGTCCTGAGCTCTGGGGGGACTGCTCCTGAGCTCCTCTACTGCTGCTGCATCCGTGCACTCTTTCTCTAGATGCTCACTCCTGTCTCCTGCCTCCCCAGGTTCAGCAAGTCCCGGGGTCATCCAGTCTCCAAGACACATTATCAAAGCAAAGGGAGGAAGGTCCATTCTCAAATGTATTCCCATCTCTGGACATGACACTGTGGGCTGGTACCAGCAGACTCTGGGACAGGAACTGAAGTTTCTCATTCAGCATTTTGAAAAAACAGAAAGAGCAAAAGGAAACATCCCCAACCGATTCTCAGTGAAGCAGTTCAGTGACTATCACTCTGAGATGAACATGAGCGCCTTGCAGCTGGAGGACTCTGCTCTGTACTTCTGTGCCAGCTCACCACAGCCTCACAGAGTGACTGGCTTTCTGTCCCTTAATCTTCCTGCTCTTGTTGGTGATGTACTAAAGAAGGTGGTGAAATACTACACAGCTGCCTTAACCAAGGTATAAAAATGGATTAGTTCTGTACTCACCCCCTCTGTCCAGATGAGCGCACAACAGAATCCTAAACACAGGGGTGGGCTCCAAGACTCCAAATGTTCTTACATGTCTTCCGGTACTTTCCAGCTCCTAGTCAGTGGTTGGAACCTTACTCTGTGTTGGGTACTTGAGTGTTGGCATAAGCTAGATTTTCATCACAAAGGGATACATTAGTGATCCATTTGCTGATGAACAGTTCTATGTGATAACATGAATTTATCCAACATTCTTGTTTAAGAATATCAGTTCTAGGATTGAAACCTACATCTCTTTGCCTTTGAAATCATTGTATGACTTTCCATGGATTCTCTGTATTGATCAAAAATCTTGCATTGCTCTCTTGTGTTTTAAGAACAGGTGAACTTTTTGTGTTTTTGTTCAGAGTGCTGATAGGTTATGATGTATAATATTAAGCCAGATCATGTATTCTTCTTATAGTTTCAAGATGTATCTTTCATTATCAACAAAAGAAAATTTGTTACTCAATCAGGCAACCAATTTGAAAGTAATATAAACAGATATTTATGGCAGAGATTTCTCCGTCCAATGAAATCAGCGCATTGTTCAGAACATTAACACTACTGGGAGATCAGACCTTAGTTTGGAAATAAAAGCTATGAGCCTAAGAGCTATGAATTTTCATGTTCCCCACTCCAAACATCCATGTCTTAAATAGAAAGTGACTCTTTCTTAGACAGACTCAACCATGAGCAATTGTCTCTTTTGTTGGCTGCTCAGGCAAGCTCGGGGCATATATGAGAATGTAGTTTCTGGGCTGTTCATACCCTGTACCCAGATTCTTCATATGGATGCTATGCTGATCTTCTTTGTCTCTGCTTCACTTTTGAGTTCTTCCTCACCAGGGCAGGATTATAGAAAGTATCCATAGGGATCCCACCAGGGTGTGTGGTCACAGAAAGAAGATTTCATACTTTGATATTATCTGTGGAGGCACTAACTGAGATATCTTTTATTGTAAGGAAACTATACTGCATTGGAGTACAGGTAAGTGTGTTTTATGTTAGCAAACTAAGGACAAAGGCGATACAAGACCTTTTGAATGATTTTCATACTTTTCTCTGGGATCCTGTAGTAACCAGACCGACACATTACTAGGCAAACAACTCATTCACATTGCTCAATGAGGTTTCCTCTTGACAGGTAGTATAATGACAAAGAGTTAATCCTCCCCCAACAGCCTCAACTAAAACAAAGGCAGAATTCCTATCAATGAGGACTCACTCTGGACTGGGCCTAGAATGTAGAGCTTGTGTCTATGAATTGGTATGAAATTACTTAAAAGGATTGTTCAAATTGTAATGTCCAAATTGTTCAAATTGTAATGCCTTTCATCTTTGAGTTTTTTAAGACTTCTGGGTGTCAAGCAGTTTTGATAGCCATAGATAACATTGAAGGCTTTCTTCAAGTATTTAGGCAAAGTAAATAATTAGTAGAAAACTCATAGAATACATAATGCAATGTAAAATAAGGAATGGTATATCATAGTAGAAATAATACAAGCCTAATAAATTGAAAATCAGAGAAAGAGTACATGCTTCTAGAAATAAAACCCAAACCAGCAATTTTTTTTTCTGGTCAGAACTAGGAATCTAAGAATATACTCTTCAAATATTGTTGTGTAATCCGGTATGTGACTATAATTAAAGCTGACTTGCTTTTGAAGGAAGGGTGTGATGTGGGATTCCCCTCTGTATGCTGTGATTACCATTGGTGAATAAAGAAACTGCCTTGGCCTGTTGATAGAGCAGAAATTAGATAGGTAGGGAAAACTCAACTGAATGCTGGGAAGAAAAAGGTGGAGTCAGAGAGAGAGAAGCCATGTATCCCTGCCTGACACAGCCACATGAACTTTAGTCGGTAAGCCACGATACAGGCATTAATGGAGATGGTTTAAATTAAGATGTAAGAGTTAGCCAAGAAGAAGCTAGAGCTAATGGGCTAAGCAGCAATTTAAATAATAGGGTTTCTGTGTGATTATTTTGGGGCTGAGCAGCTAGTAACCAGCAAGCGTCCTCTCCTTTCAACAAGGGTGTGGCCTGTTAACTGTGCAGCTTAAGCATTTGTTGGAGACAGTGGCATCACTCTGAACTGGGCCTGGAATGTAGAGCTTGTGTCTCTGAATTGGTATGAAATAACTTAAAAGAATTGTTCAAATTGTAATCACTCAGCCCCCGAGAGCCACAGCTCTAGTTTCCACAAACAGGGCTGGAAGATATCAGATCTTGCCTTGGTCTTGAAATGGACTTCAGGCTCTTCTGTGTGGCCTTGAGTCTCCTGTGTGCAAGTGAATGTTGGGACAGGCCACAGGTGTGCTATTCTTAACAGAATTCCCAAATCTTTTATCAAGGTATTCTCCTTTACAGAACACATGGAGGCTGAAATCATTCAAAGTCCAAGAAACAAGTAACAGGAGTAGAAGTGACATTAAACTGTCACCAGACTGATAACCATGACTATATGTACTGGTATCAGCAGGAACTGGGTCATGGACTGTGCTGGCAACACAGGAAAAGGAGATGTCCCTGGTGGGTACAAAGCAACCAGACCAAGAAAAGAAAACTTCTCCCTCATTCTGGAGATGGTTTCCCCTTCTCAGACAGCTGTGTACTCCTGTGCCAGCAATGATACACAGCAATGCATGGCTGCATTCTCTCTACACATAAAGTAAATTAGGAAATCATTATGCCTGTGTGCCCCAGGAATCCCTGACTCTGTAACTATGATCTCTTTCCAAGCTGTTTACTCTATACCACTGACCTAGTGGCCCCTTGGCTCATTAGGACAATAGTCCGTAAAGCCACACATAGTTTCTCTCTCATTAGTCTTTACTCAGCCTTCCCTTGTTCCTTCCATGCCAGCTAAATATGTCTTCATTCAATTTCTTCTTCATATATGTTGTATTGGTTTGAACTATGGAGAGATTTTCTAAGAACATTTATTCTGCACTGAAGACATACCTTTACCCTCTTTCTGTATCTCTCCTTCCCATCAAAATATATTTCAAATAAGATTATTTTTCTTTTAATTTTTAAGATTTTTAATTTAATTACTTTGTTTTCTCCCTTTCTCTTCTCTGTAACTGTTCACATTTTCCATGCTTTAAAATTCATGATATCTCAATGTTTAATTATTATTTTTGTGATTATTTTTGGTGTGGTATGAATAAAAACACATCAATGCAACCTAATGTCTATTTTGTGTTGCCTTTGAGTATATATGTTTTGACTGGCCACTCATGCTTGGAAAATGTAAGACTAATTCCTAGTCTTCCAGGAAAAGAAATGGTAGAGGGAGTAGCATTCCAGATATCAAAGTATATAGCTTGTTTTCTAGGTCTTGATGAATTTAGAAATACAAATATCATAGTCTCTTGCTACAATGTGCGGGTAACTTGGCTCAGTGGACGATAATTGCATGGACAATTGCAGGTAACGTGGCTCAGTGGACGGTAATTGCATGGACAATTGCAGGTAACTTGGCTCAGTGGACGGTAATTGCATGGACAATTGCAGGAAGCTGCTCATGCTACACTGCATGTTGCAAAGTGGGCAATAAAGTTGAGTCAACCTTGAATTTGGAGATTTCTTCCGTCATGACAGTTCTAAGAAAATTAAGGAAGAAGGTCTATTTTGCCTATGTATTTCAATGTTCTGGTCTATGACTAATTGGACCTGTGGTTTGGGGGTCTGGGATGTGGCAGAACAACCTAGCAAGAAAAATATGGCAGAGTTGAGGTGTCCATGTCATGACAGCCAAGAAGAAAGGAGAGAAAGAGATGGAGAGAGGAAGAGGTCTTTCTTTTTCTTTTTCTATTATGAACTTTTAAAATGCAATCTTTTCTCATTTTACATAACTATCCCCCCTTCACACTCCCTCTGCTCTTCCCACTTACTCGACCTTCCTCCCACCTCACCTACTCATCTACTCCTCAGAAAGGGTAAGGCTTCCAACATCAGACACTTCACTTTGAGGCAAGTGGGACGAGGATTTATCCCTAGTGTCTGAACTGGTATCTAGGAGCACATTCTTTTTGGAGGGGTACCTTGTTCAGTTTAGATATATCGGGGAGATTGGTCTTGCCTTGAAGAGAGATCTTTTAGTGCATGCTTCTTTCTGAAGTTGTCCACAGGACTCAGTGCCCTTTTTGTTATAAACCTATCCACAGATTAGCCATTGGTGAAGCCTAATTGATTAGTCTATTTGATCTAGTCTTCCTCAAATCCCTTCTTTTGAACACTGGGTAGAACAGTAAGCTTTTAATAACTGAATCCTCAAGAAACAGTTAACGTCTAAACCGAACAACTATTTTGCTTTGTAATATAGCACAACTTGCCTAGAGAACTCTTATCCCCCAAATGGATACTATTATTAATAAAGAGATAACTCAGGAAATACATAATGTTCCTCCTAAATTGTCAAGTCAGGAAAGAGTAAATAGAATTAGCAAAAACCATTAACTTCTTTTGCCTTCACTTATCAACCACCCATCTGTAGCTGAAGCAATGAGTCTTGAATTCAAACTTAACAGGTAGAATGTGTGTGGAGCCATGAACTTCCAGGAGCTGTGCTATACCACAAAAGAAAATTACAGCCACATCAGAAAACATTCCCTGGGGCGCTCGTTAACAAATACCATTTCATTAGTTACCAGTGCATCTGAAATACTTGCGTTCTTTTTCTCTAAGTACCTACATAGATGATTCAGCTTTTATTCTCTTTGCCATTTGGAAGATAGTCTCTCTTTCTCTCCTTTTAAAGTTTTATAATCATAATGAAATCCACGGTAACAACAAAGTTCACTTTGATGCTGATGTTTACTCTCTGGATTGTGTTTAGGAAATAAGTTCACAGATCAACAGGAAAAAAAAAAGCTATACAAACTAATTGCTTGCCTTGGGACAAGTAATGAAAGGACAATAAATATCTAAACACCTGCTGTTATCTAGAAA